TTCTTTCTCTCATTAAATATTATTAAATCTATTATTAAATCTTATTGTATTATAGAATTACTGGTTCAGTATTTCATAAGAGCTTTTATATTTATTAAAATGTTTTTCATTAACCAACTTAATACAGTAATATAATTAATAAAACAACTATTATTTATATTATTAGTCATATCTTTAATACATTACTATAATATGGAATAACTATTTTAATACTGGTTACAATAATTATTTTTATATTAACTATTATTTTTATTATATTATAACCATTATAACCTTTAAACATACTAAATAAATATCTTTCTTTTTGTTAAAATTTTGTTTATAAGTTATCATTATTTTTGATTTAATATAACATAATTTTATTTTTACTATTTACTGTTTCATTTTTATTTCTTCTTTTCTCATACCATTATTTTTTCATACATTTAATTTTCAATACTTAAATATCTATTCTCCAATCATAATATTTTATTCAATCAATTTAACGATAATTAAAATCAGATGAATGTTAATTATGGTTTAATTATAAAGAAAGATTCAATAATTTGTATTCTTAACTTATTAAGTTTTCTAATTGACTTTATTATTTTATTTTATTTTATTGTTCTTTGGTTATTCTGAGATTATCAATATCTTGTTTATCATTAAAATAATTGGTTATTTATAATTTCTTTCATATTACAATAGTCATAAAACAGTCATATTCAATTAATTTAACTTCTAGTATTATCTCTATATTTTTTTCCTATTATAATGTGTATTCTATATTTTTACATATACTTCATTCTTCTTTCTTAATTAAGTATCTAGAGCAATTGAATTTGCAATATATTATTTGTTTAAATATTCTTCCATCATCAAATATTTCATTATATTTATTACAAATATGAAATATTTTAATATTATGAAATAATCTTCTTGAATAATGATTTAAAGAATTGGATTAAAATAAAATCGTTCAATATTTCATTGAAATTTTATAAAGTCAATTTCTAAATTAATAAAATCATTAAAATCATTAAAATATTTTGATATTATTGTTATTTCATTATATCCTAATTTCATTTTTATTTTATTATTTCTTATTGTATTTCTATTCTTATTTTATTTCAATTTGAAATATTTTTAAGATAATCTTCATTTGACTTTTATTTATTTTATTTTAGTCTATGTCTATGTTCTAAATTATTAACAAGAGATAGATTATATACATCATGAAAATGATATTGATTATGATTAATGTATAGAAGAGATAATAGTGGAAAATAATTAATTAATGCAATTGAAATTAAATCGAAAACAACAACACAATAAGAAAAGAAATTAATAGAAGTAAATAA